AGAAAGAAAGAGAGAGAGAGAGAAAGAGAGAAAGAAAGAGAGAGAGGGAAGAACCTGACCACCGGACACACTGGCTTGGTAGGCACGACACACAGGTAAGCGGAGTGGCACTTAGGTTGGTGCACCTGCCGCGAGAGTCCGCGTCGTAATGGGAGCGGGGCAACGGGCGGCAGGTAGGCAGGCCTACCGCTCGTCAACCTGCGGAGAAGGGGAATCAGTCACATGGCGAGGTGCCCCGGCCGCGGCTGCCTGGCCTGGCGAACAAGGAGGTGGTAGCGGTGGCAAGTGGTGGTGGACAAAGGTAGTGGGCCGGGTGGTGGTGGCCGGCAGGAGCGGCAGGGTGGTGGTCGGCTGCGGTGGTAGGATCGCAGGACGAAAGGAGTAGGAACCGGAGAAGAGGTCCTCCGACCGGAGCGCGCCACCGGAGCCGGGAGAAGTAACCTGTCGCGGCCCCGTTCTTTGCGGATGATTCCCCACAATGGGCCCGCAAAGATAATATTTTCTTTTCGGGGCCCCGACGCGACGCGACGCGACGCGACGTGGACGTTGGCCCACTCGACCCGCTGACGGCGCAGAAACTGACTAGAGGAGGATCTCGCGCGCCCACTCCAGGACGGACTCTGTTTCACAGGAACATCCGCGCTGGGAATTTTCGGGGAACTTTTTTCGAGTAGTTTGTTTGATGAGCGTATCTTCGGGCAGACGATGATCGGGGAGTCTTGTAGATTCGCGGGATGCGTGTTTGGCTATGGTTCCGGGTCGCAGGTTTTGTTGTTGTGTGATTTGTATGCTTGGTTCGTCTTCGAAGTGGCTTCTATTTGTTGGAATAGGGACTTTTTTAGACGTCGAGGTTTGAATCGTGCGTATAGCAGGACTTTTGGTATTGATTTTCCTTGAAGAACGGTAGGTTGTATTTCAGTTTGTGAGTTGGGTGTTTTGTTGTTTTTTTAATGCATTTTCGGCGAAGTTGACTGATAATTGGGTGTTAATGGAATTGTTTGTATTTTGGTTGGAGGAAGGTTGGATAGTAATTTGTTTTGTGTGTTGTATGTTTGGTCCTGTCTGTTTTGATGTATATGAGTTATTCATAACTTTCTCTTAACAAAATTTATTGTATATTATGTTGGTATTAATAGTTTCTCGATAAGAATCGGTATTTTGAAATATTCCTTGCTCGATATACATCCGTTCAAAGTGAAGCGCTAAGTGAACCGGCGGTAACGGTATCCTCGAACAAAGTGGCTAACTACTTGGCTCATTGGAGATATTCGAACATTCTTTACATGTTTCGGATCGCTACGACATTACAAGAATTATCCTTAACGTTGTCACAGGAGCCTTGCGTTTTAGCAACTGGTCTTTAACGTGCAATGTCCTCGGGTTATTTATAAATAAAGAAGTCTGTGCAAGCAAGGCCCTCTTCAAGGTTTCGTTATAATGATCAGGATAATTATGCTCAATGTAGCTTCAAATATGTTCGTTATGCACATCCGTTCGATAGTTTCACCACAATTATTTCATTTGATGTAAACTTCGATTCTTAATGGGAAGCATTGAATTTGTAATGTCCCAAGTAAATGCATGGAAGTACACAAAAATGGTAAAATTACAATCATTAATCATTATTTACCACAATTAAAACCTTTACTAGTTCCTTAATTATCTAATGTTTTGTTAAAAACTTATTTTCAGTTAAAATAAAGAATAGAAAATATTAATTTTGTATGAAATGAAAATATTAACAGGAAATATTAATTTTATATTCTAATTCTTTTATCCGATAATTATAACATTATTAACACTTATAGATTCATTAATAACCACCAACAAAAATAATATGAATACTTTACTTCCGCATATTCAAGTATCATCGCCTCTTCCCACCACACTAACGCCCGAACCAACGCGAAGAAACTAGAAAGTCAGGCGTGATCGGACGAATAAAAATTACATAGTACTACAAAATCATATCTTGATTAATGACCAGCAGATTTACTTCCCAGTAACCGATACCGAACGCCAAAGAAGTATAATTTCCACACATAATCAAACGCTTTTGCAAACGCTCCATCGGCTTCGAAGCCTTTCAGGCAAATTCTCACTTTCATAGACCATTTTATAAATACCAGGCTCGAAGGAGAAAGTTCATTTTGCCAATTACAAGGACGATTAAGATCGTGGCGGAATAAAAATTTAATGAATATTCGTGGTTCTTGCCTCGTAGCGTTTTATACGCGTACTTCACGTCGTAAGTCGCACAAAATCCGACGATACGACTGCAAAATTGCCGGGGCAACGAATCGGCGAGCGAAAATAGAAATACTCGGAAAGAATAGAACAAGGAGGAGAAAGTGATTCCTTCATTTAGATTTTATTGCTGTTCGGACAAAAGACGTACGCAGCACTTTCGTATTTTCTGCCCGGCCGGCTATGGCTTCCTACAAAGATCGTTGCCGAGTCCCATATTTGGATTCCTCGGTGGTATAGAAGAGTATTGAATTCCAGGCGTTTCCAGCCGATTCCGCTGGGCACAACCTGATGGCAGATTGTCTCCTGACTCGTTGTCCGGTGAACGTCGCAGCGCTGTCTAACTACGTCTTTCTTTACGTCTCTAGCTGCGCGGAGTTACGTTTCGTCTAGGCGGACAGTATATCGATAAAACCAGACAAGAATGCCTTGTTCCACCCAAACACGGGGATATGGACGTGGCTCGGGAACAACTGCCTCTACCTTTGGACGCGACGATATACCGGCATTCAATTATCTTCGTGTGTTCCGAATGATTGGATATTGTTCTCCGGGTCCGGGGAAAGGGAGATTACTAAAACTTTCTGATTTAATCGTGTCCTGATTGTACCGGCTTCTGTGGAACGTTTGCAAAGGTGAGAAGTAGCTGATTCTTACTTGGAAAATTAGGAGATGAAAGTGAGTTGAATGTTATTTTATGTAAGATGTATAGATTGTTTTCGAATTTTTAATTGGCAAGTTTCTATTTAGGGAAAAATTAAGCGTTACTGTATTTTGACAGTGTGTAATATTTTGAAATCCATTTATTTCTAGTGAAAGATATGATATTAGGATAGTTCTGTTTGTATATGGTTGGTTTGTTAAAAAGAATTATTGGTTCAGTGTATTTAATATATTCGAGTGAAGTCTCGTAGTGTTATATCATTGCAGATTGTTACTATTCCCGATAATGTTTATAAATATTGGAAGAGATAAGGTATATTTGTATTCCGTAATAATCTGACATAAATTGATAAACAGAAGATACTAATATCAACAGCAAACAGATAATACCGCACTATCCGCGTTTACTAGAAGTAGAAACAGTGAGCAATGACCAGACACATTAACCAGAAATCAAACCGAGCACTTTCGCAAATTAAATTCTCTCAAAAACGAAGCTTCCCAACAAATCTTCATTATTCAATATAAAATCAACATTCACAATTACTAACAAATTTTAATCATAAAATAAACTCCTTCGTCCAACGAAACGACTGAAACCAACAAATTAAAAAATACACTGCACAAATCATAATCTCCAAACACCCGAACGATTAACTCAAACCTCCCAGTCATTCAAATTCCATTTGCAATTAATCCGCTGAACCCCATTAGCCGTCCTCTAAGCAACAATCATCCGACTAAGTGTCGAAACGCGCGCAGAATGATATTCATACACCCGTTCCCCGAACCGATCAAAAAACTCGTTCCGAGCAAAGAAGCTCTCACCACCCTTCAATTACTCCTTAGACGAAAATAAAGAAAACGCTCCGGTATACCCGTCACCACAGGTATTAAGGTTCGCCTTTTCGTTAATACCTGCGACGCAACCCCGGTCCCACGACTTAACTCTCGTGTGTCGCAACATCGTTATCGGCGTAGAATATCGCTATACGGCCAGTGTCCTGGAAGTGTTGCCCTAGGCGTCACTGCGTGGCGAACGCGACCAGGACGCGGAGCGAAACGAGCCTGCAACCGTGCACCACGGTAGGGTACACCGAGAGCCACGTGAACCACGGATGAGGAGCTTGTTAGGTTAACCATCACATTGTTTCACGAGGGCGTGGTGGAGCCGTTGTTCGCGGCGAGTGCGTGGAGAACGTCTACCAGCCGGGGCCTAACTTCCCTCTTCCTCTCCGGCTCGCCCTCTCTCTCGGTTAGCCGAAGAAGATCGGAGCCCTGCCATCGAGAGCGATATATCGCGGCCCGATATATATCACTCGGCGGAGCACTCGACTTCCATACGTCCGCTCGGGCGTACATATGTACGCGTACATCGCCCGCGGGCTGGCTTCAAGGTCCTCGTTTAGATATCCGCTCGCTCCGAGATTATTCGAGGCAGCGACGTCGCCTCGCTGCCCCGCGCCGTGCGTTACACACCGGCATCCTATATCTGGTCTGATCTGGTCAGCTTCCGGAGCTAACGATTACCACCTCGGCCATTTTCTTTCGCGGCCCTGGATTCGATTAAACGGTCCGTCGACCCCCACCCGTACTGACGGCGAAGCGGTAATCGGTGATGCCAAAGATTAGCGTCAATCCGATGGATTGCCATTCTGTGCCCGGCAACCCGATACGCGATTAGCTATGATAATGACGGGGAATATTTCTGGACTGGTCTTCGCTCGGAGGTTGTTCCGTCTTTATGCGGACGCTGGACTTTCTTATAGATACTTGGAAGATAGTTTTATAGCTGCGCAACCTGTGGCTAAGTGAATAAGAAGTTATAATCTTGAGTACGAGATATTCCAAAATTGTCTTTGAATGCACAGCTGATATTGGGGTCTTTGGTATGAAGTTCTGGTGGACAGGATTCGATTACTATGTGCACATATGTATCGCGTGGACTGAGTAGGTAGAGATAATATTGGGTAGAAGTTTCTCA